GCTCACAGGCCTTTGTTGAAAACAGGTGTAACTAATACTAATACTAGTGACTGCATTCAATTCAGGTGTGTCTGGCTCACTGATGCACAAATGGAAGACATCAATAATGTTATTTCATGGGCCTTTTCTGCTTTGACGAGTCAAAGCAAGATAAAGGTAGGCTATATTGAATGGAACACTGAATTATTGAATTTTGCAAAAGGATTTCTGAAGGTCTTGTGGTGATTTTGTTAATAAGCTTTTCTCCAGGCCTCTGTGACACAGAGCACAGTGCTGTGGAGCTTAAGAAAATATTTAAGCTATGTCTTCATTTGGCAGTTCCATCCAAGAGTTTCCTTCTTCTTTTCTTCAAGACTCAGCAATGTACGCCAAAGCCTTAGTAATATGGGACATTTTTATAATCATCCGTTTCTGCCAGAAGAAAAGAAGAGGTGCCATTTGTCCACCTCCAAAACAGGGTTACATTTTTATCAAGTTCATCGAGTTCATTCATTATAGCATAACAGCACCATAAGACTTTGCTCTGTACTGTATGTGTAGGAGACTTCTGTAAGGTCGAAAATATTATCTTAAATATCTTAAACCCTACAACTGAGAGCCAAAGTCATGTACCAATTCCTGATCAGTAATTAGATGTTCTATAAGCTTTGGGGAGTATGTACTTTTCTTGGAATTCTGACGATGGTGCATGTGAAATATGGTTTTATGGATATCTATTGTCCTCGAAAGAAAATTTTGAGCACCTCATCATTTAACAAAAATAACATTAACTTTAAAACAATTAAAGTAGATTGAATTGATAAAAGGATTGTTATCTAGCATGGGTTTGTTAACATTTTCAAAACCTCATCAGACATGATGCTGCTACGTTGCTGAATGTTAACACCGAACTCTAAGATGTTGTATAAGAACAGGGGACCGGACTCCAAGATAGCATCTGTTCATCTAAATAAAAGTTTCTCATGATGTCCATGCACCAAAATAGATTTTCTCTCTTCCTGGTTTACTGTTCTGTTCACTCACATAATTTTGGCAGAATGGGGAAAACAGGAAAACTTTCCATTTAACTGCTTTCTGAGTGCTATGCATTATTCCAAGATGGTTACTCCCACTGCGATCCTTGCTGTCACATCCTTTAAATAGCCTAAATTGGCTATTTTTGCAGTATTTGGAACAGTTCTACATGTAAAGCCATATAAAAACTCTATAGCTTTTGAATGAGTTGAAGCAATTGTATTACTGTCAATATTTTTCACCAAGCAGGTGATATTGTAGCGGTCAGAAATTCCTGATAACTCTGACTCGGAATTACAACCAGGAGGTTGATTTTCCAAACTTGGTTGGTACATTAGCTAATTATCTTGGTGGAAGTATCTCTCACCTGCTGGTCCCATAGATTATGATGTCACGCTGGACTCGTTTTTACAAACATTTAATCATCTGGGTTTAAAATTTAGAAATTATTTTAAAAGTCTCTTCTATGAAGGCCACCTCTGGAGACAACTGGCAGCAAACGTATCCAGCTTTCCTAATATGTCCTACAGTCAAACACAGAGGAGTTAGTAACTATTTGACAGTTTGGCCTCCAAATACATATGCTTCAACTCCTAGATTAAAAAGATTACAAGAAAATAAATTAAGGAGCCAGAAGAAAGGTCAGGGCCTTTCTGTTTTGATATTTTTCCTGTGCCACAGAACAATTGTGTTATCAACAAAACTTATATCTCTGCCCCCAGAATTTAAATGAGCGCAACTGCATCTGACAGGAGTCAGTTCTCTTTTGATATTGAAACGGGGCAGGAAAAGGAGGAGCACAGTGGGGGTGGTAAAGAGACGTGAAGAAGGATCTGAGAAATCCTCTCAGCACAAAAAGATGGACAGGGACCCTGCTGTGTAAGGAACATTGTATCCTTGGATTAACTCCACACGTTCACAGCCGATTCAGTGCAGCCACCAGAGCTGCACACAGCAGCGCTACGCCATGTGACCTGTGATCCAGCACTACTTATCCTCCCTCTATTTTCCCCATCCAGCTTTCAAATGAGAATGGTTTCCTAGAGTTAAGGGAGTTTATTATCCACAAAGCTCATAAGGCGTGCTATGCTGGCAACAAAACCGATGAATGCAATTCACTCATATTGACGAGATGGAAAAAGGGATCAGTGAGTTTTTAGAATGATGCAAACTTTCATTTAACATACCGGTACTAGGCTATATCAATTTAGACGAAAGCCTGGAGGGGATCATGTGGGTCATTTGTGTGTCTTCGTGTGTCCGTGTGTGTGTGTGTGTGTGTGTGTGTGTGTGTATCTGTCCGCAGCTAATCTCGCTTACCACTGGACCAATTTGATATTTTTTGCGCACATTTCACATCACAAACTGTATGCTCAAGGACCTCTTGTGGTTACGGTGATCCACAATTTTTGAAAAACCCATTTTATTGACTGCTCTGTTTTATATACCCATTGACTGCTGTACCTCATTCCTCTTAACTGACCAGTAGGGCCTGCAAGTGATCAATAACTGCTTCAGTTTGGGATCTTGTTTCCACAAGGGACAATGTATAGGGCGTCACATTAGTGTTGGCGGGTTCTTTTATTGGCATTTTAACTTTGAATTTACATTTTACATTGCTGGTGTTTTGGAATTGCCAGAGGTTTGTGTCCATATAGCCTGTCTACTCTGGTTACACCTTCATAATGTAACCTGCATATTGTCTCCCCTTCATTCCACTACTGACTGGACACCCACATGCCCTCAGTCTTCGGGTTTACTCTGGGTTCTGTTCCCTCCATGCAGCCTCACTGAAGACATCACTTGCCTTGTTTCACCCAGCTAAATGCACAGATGCTAGAAAATAAAACAAAGCTAATCAGAGGTACATTTCATAGCTACCAAAATCAGTTGCAGTCACAGGAATACTTTGAGTATTTGCCCTTAGGTATGAGAAAGCAGCCTCTGCTTTTCTCTGAATCAGTTCATAATTTGTTTTAGCCCGAGCGCTATCTATAGATCTACATCAGCTTCCTTCTAGAGATATGCAAGAAGCTATTATTACCCAGATAATAACCATGAGAGGTTGTTCAAAGAGCCTTTTTGTAATAGCTCACTTAATTCACCCATTTTGAACAGTGCCTTTGTTTATGGGGTTTCTTTCAAGGTGAACTGAAAAGTAAGCCCCAGGCTAAACAAAAACACTGTTAATTATTCAGTGTAAAATAAAAGCTGAAACCCAATCTTAAAGTTTAATTCTTTCATAAATGTTTCTTGTTAGATGAAAAAAAACACCTCATAATACGTTTTACACCTAAACGCCTGAAGGCATGAGGAAATTAATATAATAAATAATAATAATGTAGCTTTTACTACTACAGAAATAAAAATTCTGCAGCTACTACTACTACTAAAAATAATGTTAAATATTAGGAGTTGATGATGCATAATCTTCCAAATGGTTACATATACACAATTTATACTGTTCATAAAGGTTTTATACATATTTATACATATATGTGATTTAATATATATTTCATGTATCTGAATCAATCACATTTAGGCTGATATCAGCCCAATGATCCAACTTTGGAAGAATATGAGGGGTTTGGGCTCATAAAGAGGAAGGGGATCTGCAATGTCGCCATTGGCCAGATGTGGCCAGATGCTTTATATGTGATCAATAAAATCACCTTCAGTCTGGGTAGCAGGTTTTGTGTAATTTCAACAGCTAAAACCAGCCTGAGATTTATTCACATTTATTGTTAGTGAAACAACATTTCTGCACCAAAACTAGCTTTCATTTCAAATAACAACATCATTAATTAAAATCAAGCTAAAATCAGACTATAGGTTCCCCATTGGTCCCTGTATGAAAGCTTAAAACACCTATATTTAATATAATATTTCATGTTGTGTTTTTGTTTTTGTCATAAAATGAACCTTTAGAATTAAGTTATTTAAATAAACAAAGTATTTCAGGTTATGAAAACTTAAAAATAATCCTCTAATGAAGTGAGCCTGAGAAAATCTGACCCTGATTAACCGATGTGCACTCACTAAAATTACCTTTCATTACTCTGTGTCTCATGAGCTAAAGTGTACACACAAGCACACAGCAGCTTTCTGCGAAGACTCCCCTCCTCATTCATGGAACCCACTAGAGCGCAGCAGTAAATCAAGCCTTAACGATTAATGACTAACCAGGACAAACGATTTATGACCTCTCCCTCTTCACTAAATACCAACACAGCGACAAAACAAACTGCATGTGTAGTCCTCAGACAGAGCGTCTTCACCTCATGCTCCTTGGAGTGTGGACATCCCTGCTGCCTTATGCTTTTAACCCACTCAGACACAGTATTTAACCTTGGGAGAGTAGTTATAGCAGGTAATTGTCTGCAATAGCTCCTTTAGAGGTGATGCACTGACCCTAAACACAGAATCAGTGGTTTGTTAACTAAAGTGAACTGAGACATTATCCTAACCCGCTCTGTCTGTCACTGAGATAAAGCTTAAGTTATTTGATCAGTGTAAATACGAGCGCTTAGGGGTCAGAGGGTCACAGCAGCACAACACAGTAGCTGCAACACCTAACATGGGACCCTACAGCAAGCATACAGCAGATGATTGACAAGTGATGGAGACAAAGACTTGTTGGGAAAAAATTGTGCCTGAAAAACGCTTTCAAACATATTGGTAGTCTCTTTTTTTAAATCTAGATTTAATTAAAAGGGAGTTCACATTTGTATTTGATTGACAGTGCTACACAAACATTAGAAGCAACTAGGAAGGAGGTAAAATTATATCCTCACTTTCTGTAAAGTGTGACTCCAGTGCGGCTTTTTGTACAATATATATGGTATTTCTTTCCAGCCTGTCAAATGTAACAAAATGTGACAAAATGTCTGTACTTAGACGGCAAAAATGTAAAAGGTAAAAGACTTAAATCAAAGGTCAGAGGTCAAGCCCGTTCTTCTCCCTCTTTCTCCCCAGGGTCTTCTTACCTGTGTTGGGGTGAGATTGTGGGTGCCTAAAGGGGTCCCTCGGGTGGGTGCAGGTTTAGGTTTTGTCAGCGTACGTTTCCTTCCCCCGGTCTCAGCGTGGTTTTTCTGGCTACGTGGTGGATGGAGGCAGCTGCTCTTATAGAGACCCACCCCTCCCCTTCAACCTCCTCCTCTGATTCTCTCTCTCTCTCTCTCTCTCTCTCTCTCTTTCAAAACTCCCTCCTTCATCACAGAGAGAAAGTGAGAGAGAGAGGGAGGGATGGAAATCAGAGAGAAGAAGTAGAGGGGGAGACGGGGACAAGGCTTGAGGGAGGGAGAGGGGGAGGGAAGCAAAGGGGGAGAGAAATATACTAGTTAGGATAGGAAGAAAAGTAAATGGCAAAAGGCCAAAAGAGGGAGAAAATGGCAGGAGAAAAAAGATTGAAAGAGACGAAAGGATCTATCTATCTATCTATCTATCTATCTATCTATCTATCCATCCATCTATCCTACAAGGTTTTTTTATGTTTTTATTTTTTCGTAATGAAAACAACTTTAATAAATTGAGTAAAACACACAAAATGTATAAATATGCAAATATTGTTCACTAAAAAAGTTTAACCACTGGAAACCTAAAAGTCCATTCTTAATGTGTGCATGTGTGTGTGTGTGTGTGTGTGTGTGTGTGTGTGTGCGCACTGCAGGTTTCACGTTTCCTCATCACATGCATACTGAACCACGTTGTGATGTCACAAAATCCTGCTCATATGTACGTGTATTGAACTCACATTTAATGTGAGCACAGAGAAACCCTCCAGCAGGTGAATGTGTTTGTCTTGTGTCAAACTCTGCACACACGTCATTCTGAAGCTTAAACATCCAACTAAAGCAGCAATGAGCAAAACAAATTTTTCAGTAAAGAGTAAATGTTATTGCCTTTTCACGCTACTGTGATAGCAGTGTTAATTTAATATTTCTTTCTCACTCTTTTAATATGTGAGGAGAGTTCTTCTACTCTGAAGTCATAAGCTCAAAAAACTTGAATGAATTAAAACTGCTTTAAGCTGATTATTCCTTGTAACAATATACTACCAGTTATTACTCCCCATTGTGATATATTGCATATACTTTTACCTCTTTGTAAGAAAAAAACTAACTACGAAGAAAATGTCGTATTTCTGTGCAGTGTTCTTTTGAAGAGAGGTTGGAGGACATCTGACTGTCACTCCCACAACATGGTGGAGGAGTGACAGCCAGATGTCCTCCAACCTCTCTTCAGGCAGTGGCAGGACTGTATTACTGTCATTCTGCTCACAAACAAAAATCAACGCTGGAAACAAAAGAATCATGACGAGCGTGAGTTCCAGAGTTTCTCATTATGCATCTGTCCGGCCTTCATTATCAGGAGGATGCGTTCTGTTTCTTTCTGATTAGGGTTACTTTACTTTGGCCATGTTACTGCTCTGATTCAAAATGAAACTTAAAATGAAACACACAAGTCACTGTTGCAACAAATAAAAAAAGAAGGAAACAGGAGACACAAAATGTAGGGAACATTGCAGAGACTTATGTGGCTGTAATAAAATGAATCCATTAATTGTCCTGATTTAAATTTCACTGTAAATACTGGATCACATAGCCTTTGAGATAGAATGGAATGAGACCAAGGCAGGCATTAATAATAACAATAATAATAACAATAATAATAATAATAATAATATTAATAATAAATGTCATACACAAGTCACCTTTTTATTTATGAGATCCTTTGAGCCATTACAATATGGATATCAGATGTCTTAATAATATATTTAATTTAAGTATTAAGGATAAATACATGTTTATAAATATACTGTTTGATAGATATTCTAAATGCAGATTATGCTTTTCAGGCAAATAAGTTTCACATACTTAAACACAGTAGGTGATTTGAGTTGGAGATGACCAAATGCAACCCCGTTGTTAACCTGCATCCCCCTCTCCATCCCCTATAGCAGCACAGAGAGTGCAGGGGCAGAAAGGTTGTTTATTTGAATATGTAGTCTAGTCTGCATGATTCATTGATCCTTTATCCGACTGAGGTTTGTGCATGTTAGAATCTACGGCCCCGACCATGGCTCTGAAATATCAGTAGCCTGACTGTGCTGTGTATTGATAAATCCATGACACTGTCCGTGGTGCTGAAGTAGCAGACGGATTTTTTACTGCACCTTTTTCTTGCTGTCCTGTCCTTCTGTCAGTTTCGTCTTGGATCTATAATATTCTCTAGACTATATACTATAAATTCTCAATTTTATTCTATGTAAAATGACATTAAACATCAAATAAAAATAGATAATGGGTCCCAGTTCAAATTTCTTGTTAGTCATCTGACTGTACCTTGTTACTGCTATGGAAATATTTGTTAGGGAAAATTCTGTATGTTGCATGTTGCATGTTCTGTCGATGTTTCTTTAATAACTTTTATTGCATAAAACCAGCTGTCGGATCTTAACAAGCAGACCTGAGACATCATTCTACCTGCGCAGCTGTCTAGGAGTTGGTAACATGCCAGCGTGACAGCCATCTACCCTTATATCAGAGACATACGTACATCATCAGTTTGTTCAACTTGACATGTGTGTTTCTATTCTTTGCCGATGTACAGCTGGGACAAAGAAGGTCATCATAAAAACATGACTGCGTAGGTGTGGGGCCAACATGAACCTCAAGGACAGCCTCTCTGAGTCTGCAGAATTCTACTCAAGGTATGAAGCCCATCTTACTCTATGCTTTCTCATTTATTCAGGTTTTTCCTTTATTCGTCATCAATTTACATTTTAAAGATAATAAGTTCCGTAATCTTGGCTGGGTCTGAACATCAATCACCAATCCTGTTCCTATGTCTTCTGATTCTATGGTGTATGTTGTATCTTTGTAAGGCTGAGGTTTTGTTGTGTGGTCATTCCTCTTGAGGATTCATGTCAGCTGGGTGGGTTAGTTTACTATTTCTGGAGTAGTTCCTGTCTCTGTCTGTGTGCATCATGTTTGGTTTTCTTTAAGCCAACAGAGGTTTTGTGAGATGGGATATAAAAACTGCAGGAGGGTCTGTCTATTCTGTTTATATACACATACACACTCACCAACAAACAAGCTGTGCTTTTCTGGCCAATTTCATATTGTTTTTAAAGAAAACATTTGACATTTTGGGCAATATGCTTATTCAATTAGATGAGAAAATTAATACTATTCTCGTGTCTGTCAGTTAGCTTACCTTAGCACGAAGACTGGAAACAGGGGGAAACAGCTAGCTTGGCTCAACATACAAATATCCACCTAACAGCACATCTAAAGCTTGCTAACAAAAATCCTCTCCTTTGTTTAAGCCATACAAAAACCAAAGTGTAAAAACATAAAATCTAGTCTTGTCATTGTCAGATCCAGGAAGTCACTCCTTGGCTCCAGGCCAAGAAATAATATGGCACATAACCCCGTGAAACTATAATATATTGTTCTTGCACTCCAGTTTTGTGTGGATTAAGTAAATGAGATATAACATATCAATTAGTGAATTTAAGAGTTGCTGGTAGGCAGATTTCTTTTAACCTTCGAACAGGACTATCTGTCACCCCTGCCACTAGGCTTTGTGCTAAGCTAACTGTTTCTTGCCTCCAGCTTTATATTTAACAAACACATATGAGAGTAGTATTGATCTCCTCATCTAACTCTCAGCATGTAATGTTGAGGGTCCTTTCGGTTATTTGTTCTTACTGAGAGCAGCAAATAAATTATGAGGTAGACGGTCGCTGTTGAAGTCTCAGCTCTGTGAAGTGAAGTCAAAAATGCTGCCTTACTGCTACCAAACCAACAAACTGTTGTTCAGACAGGCTGGTTGTTGCAGCAGTAAAGACAGGTCAATAGACCATTATTGTGTTTGTCTCCTGTAGTCAGTGGTTCATTAGTAGATACCCATCAGAGGGACAAGAGCTTGGTCAAGTAATCCAAAAGACTGTCTCATAATCCCTACGTCACAGGTTCAGTGTCCACTCGTCTGACATTTCTTTCCAATGCCACTATTCACACAGCATGTCATATTGTGGTAAACCTCAAAGCACTTGACAAACATTAGTAAAATGTCATAAGCATTGAAACTTGATATTTTCGCTGAGGAAAATGAAATTATTCATGCAGAGCAAATAAATGAATTGTGATCACCTAAAGTTCACTGTGTTTTAAGGACGTGACTTCACTGCAAAGACGATGCTTTCCATTGCCTTGTCAATACTTGCATAATTACTTTTTGAAGTAATCTCAGTAAAGTGAATGATACATTTCCCCTAGTTGGTCTTAAAAAGATAATGTTACAATTATAGGCAGTGGTGGTAGCTTGGTGGTCAGAAATTTGCCAGAAGGAATTAACTAATTCAACTCAGCCCAACTTAGCTCAGATCAAATAATAGTGAATCAACTCACACACAAATCAAATTAACAAAGAGCAGATAGTGCGTAATACTGAGAGCAGAGACAGAGTCATCAGATGCGTATCTCCTTCAGTTCAAAGTTACATTCTCCTCCATCTTCAGAGACCAAACTAAATGAAGGAAACAAACCTCTGGCCTCAGATGATCACCCACACAGTAATGATGGTCTGAAACGCTGACTTATTTGCCTCGCCTCATCGAGTGCCCACCCCTGATTACACATTCTGGTGTTTTGGCAATCTGAAAAGAGACACAAAATGCTAAATGAGCAATTAGGTTGTATTGTGGAGCCGACTGCAGCTAGCTGATCGCTAATTGAGCCGAACAACAAAACAGAGAAATGTTGGGTTTCTAAACAAAGGATCATCTGCAAGCAGTTTAACACAATGAAAATATTCAAAGAAATGAAGAGTGTGTGTAAAATACATAAGTGAGTAACTGGGAAACTGACGGAGAAACAATGAGACATCGATTTGTCTGATCTCAGCGTCTGATCCATGAAGCAGATTTCCCTCCACCAAATGAATCAATGTCATTAATTAAATACTCGTTAAGACTTTTCCTGTGGGAAATGACTGATAGCTAAATAGCAAATTAGACAGAGCCACAACAGTTGCTAATTTTAGCCTGCTCCGAATCAACCAGAAGAAAGACAATATAATTATTTA